AAAATCTGACATTAGCTTGCAGACATTTTGCATTGTGATTGATCTATCCTTGTTTGATGTAAACCTAGAATATCACCATCCCTTCTTTTCATGGGTATGTTGCCATATATGCTAATACTTGAAAGGTAAAATCCTTCTGTAATTAGCATTATATTCCTATATTAAATTTCTACCCACAGTAAAATGAAGTCTGTTTAAACAGGATATAGACATTTATTTTTAGTGCCTTAGAACTATGTCGTATTTGTGCCTAATGTGTTTATCTTTTTTCTTCTTTTTGTTGCAAGGTCTTTTACTCTGTACAGCATGATAAAATCAATTTAGATTTTTGAATTCTGATATTTAAGAAGTGTATTTTTCTGCTGGAGAAGTTTCAAATGCGTTCAGAGAGGCATTTTACTGACTTTATCTCTTCTGATATTCTCAGTTCCCTAAGATTCAGTGACTCAGTCAATAAGCACTAGACATCATTCGTATCTTTCTTATTTCCATGATGAAATGGCGTGAAGAGCAGAATAGGGAAAAATAAAATGGTATGGATGGTAACATGGCAAATGAATACCAGGAAACTGATAGGCATCACAAGCATCTTTATTTTTTGTAGTGATTCAGTACAAGGTAAATTGAACCAGTCTATTTCATCCCATTTTTCACTTTGGTCCAAATATCACATAAGGATAGTGAAGTCAACTGAGCTGGCCCAAAATAACAAAATATCTTTTATGCATCTAAACATTCATTTTACTGGTTTGCGGTGAGATGCTGCCAGTATGTAAAAAAAAAAAAAAAAAAAAAAAAAAGATTTTGAACAAAAGTTTTCCTTCTTAGCAGGACACAAACCCAGTGTACCTGTGTGTGTGTGTGTGTGTGTGTGTGTGTGAAAGAGAGAGGAAGTGAGAGGGAGAGAGAGAGAGAGACGGACATGCAGAGTAATCTCTTCATTTGTTTTCCCATTTAAACAAGCAAACAAGCAAGCAAACAAACAAACAAAACAAAGTGGTTTCATAATCACAACTAAGGGAAACATATTAAATAGCACTTTTAAAAAATCATGTGGAGTTTATTAACAGTATAGCAGTGTTCAATTTATATAATCTGAAGACGCTGCAAACTTTATAAGGGCATGCCCATGCTAGGAAATTATTTCAAAATAAATACATCTGAACTAATAACTCCTGAAATAACAAAATCAAAATAGCATGTCCCTACTATGGGGGAGCCTTAAAACGAGTCTGAGGCAGGCTCCGTTATTGTGGATGCGCTACCTCTACTTAGAGCCCGAAGAAGCACTAGGGAGTAATTAGTTTGAATTACTCTGTGAAGTAGTATTTCAAAATAGCAGCACTGGAACATCGACACTAACATTATTTCGAAATAACTATTTTGAAATTAGCATTATTACCTGAGGAAAGCAGGAGTACAGATTTTGAAATAAGTGGCCCGTTATTTCAAAATAATGGGATTGGTCATGTGGATGCTCCACTTATAAGTTCAGCCTGGGGGACGTTATTTTGAAATAACACCCTAGTGTAGACCAGGGCTAAGTGTGCCAAACAGAAACCATTTCTGGATACTTTTTGTAATCTGGTCTATTCTAAAGGCAAAACACTTGGTCAGCAGAAGTAATGTATGTAATCTCCGGATGGGATGAAGTCACAGTTTTTAGAGATTGGATTAGCTTTCATAGGCAGGCAAAAAAATTCCAATGTTCATTGTACTGGTAAGCAAAATTTTAACAAGGGAGTTCCCTGAGCCCCAAATACTACTTCCATCATATCAGTGTGTAATCACTACAAATAAAATAATATACATGCCTTTAATATGTATCTATGCATGTATTTCTAGTTCACTTTTTATAAAAATAAATCTGTTTAGGATGGGGTTGAGAAAGAAAAAAGCTGGATTTTATATCTTTACTGGCATAATCGGAGAGAAGTTTTTTACAAATGTTGTGTTGCTACCATAAATTCTGTATATGGCTATGATTAGAAAGTTGAATCTCATGCCTACAGGCATGTCTTTATTTAGAATGTGATGAACTGTTTAGGTTACACTTAGTAAGGCTGAAGTGATGAAGCCATTTTATAACGGTGTATAGCCATAGTGCCATCAATTCCTCTAGAGCCATTCATTTTTGAGTACTCAAAAAGGTAGTGAAATTTACCATTCACTGGGCTATAATATTATTATACATTCCAGAAGTATTAGCACAAATAAATATGATTCCATAAACCAAAGTAAACAAAACTTAAATTCCATTTCAAAATCAAATGAAGGAAAACATGTAGTAAGAACATAGCTGATGGTGGGTGTTAAGTTTTGGTAATAAATGCTGTTTATCCTCGCCCTAGTTCTCTTACTTGGGCTGTGTCTAGACTACATGCCTCTGTCGTCAGAGGCATGTAGATTAGACACATAGGAAAAGTCAAATGAAGCCGCGATTTAAATGATCGCGGCTTCATTTACATTTACATGGCTGCCGCGCTGAGCCGACAAACAGCTGATCAGCTGTTTGTCCGCTCAGCGC